ACTGGAACCCCACTGACAGAGCACTGGAACCCCACTGACAGAGCCCTGGGAACCCCACTGACAGAGCACTGGAACCCCACTGACAGAGCCCTAGGAACCCCACTGACAGAGCACTGGAACCCCACTGACAGAGCACTGGAACCCCACTGACAGAGCCCTGGGAACCCCACTGACAGAGCACTGGGAATCCTGCTGACAGCGTGGAGCAGTGACAACCCTACCACACGAGCTGGCCCGGAAGAGCTCAGTTCCAGCCACCGAGGGAAAGGGAATGATGGTGCTTGGACATCACCGTTTGGTAACAGCAGTGGGTTTGGACAGAAGCTTGAAGCAGCTCGGGGCGTGTGAAGGGAAAAGCAGCCTCCCTTGGCCTCCAGCGTTTGACCCGCAGGCCGCCAGGACCTGTGACCAGCACAGCGCACAGAAGAGGCAGGAAGGGTGTGCACTGGAGGGTGAAGAGGCAGGAAGGAGACCCGGACCACTGGGAAAGGTCACACAGAAAGGTACGAAACCATACACAAGGCCAGGCTTACGGGTCAGACAGAGACTGGCGGGACCCACAGGCCAGCTGAGCGCACCACTGTGGCTCCAATGCGGGAGAAGACACCGCTCCTTCCAACAACCAAGTACAGGAGGCCGGACGGGCAGCATCCGCCTGGTGGAAAGCTCGGGCAGCAGGAAAGGGTAAATGGAAGCAGGAAACACAGGGAGGAAGTAGGAAGTGTGCAGGACATGGTGGGACGACAACCTGTGCCAGGAAATGTGCGTGTCTGAGAGAAAGCCATGGATGAAAACCCAGTTTGCTCCATAAACTTTCACTGAAATCAGAGTAAAAAGCTAAGGCAAACAGAGTAGAGCCAAAGGCAGCGTCTGCAGACTGATGCCTGGGCAGCAACACGACCCCACATGCTGCGTGGCAGTCAGCGCAGCGGGCAACACAGCAAGCCAGCCCCTCGGGCGGTTCTCTCCCGGCCATGGTGGGTCCACGAGAAGGGACCTCTCCCAGCTGCCCTGCTCCTCACCCTGCTCCCGGGCTTTCCTCCAACCACACCTCTCGGGAAAAGGAAGGCGGCGGACGTGCAGATGGAACAAGACCGGCTACAATCCATCATTCTCCCAGCTGGTGAGGGTACGCGTAGGTTCATCACACCACCATCCACTTTTTACACACCTTGAAAACAGTCTCCACTAAAAATAAACGAACAGATAGCCCACCTGACACAGGTGTTTTGACAACCAACCAGATATGGAAAGGAATCAAGCAGGATTTTAAAAGGGAAGAATGCAATCCCTGAAGTAGTAGCAAGAAGAGTAAGTGTAGAGGAGACAGTCATCACAGACGGGCAGACCCCACGCCTACACGCAGAAAACGGCCAACTCGCGTCAGGCAGCAAGTTCAAGGAACAGTCGGACCGACCCGCAGCACTCAGACCTCCAGGGACCCTGACAAACCTTCTACCCACAAGGGAGCAAACAAAACAGTGACAGGCCAGCGAGCAGCCAGACTCGAGGCTGGAAACGGGGCTCAGGAAAAGCAGCCGGGTTTTAAAAACACGGGCAAAATACAGACAGGTCTGCTTCCAACAGACGAGGCCTATACTCGATGCAGTCTAGTCCTCGGCGTCGCTCCCGAGCCGAGCTGGGCTGCGGTGACTCAGCCAAGCACAAGAGATCTCCTGGAGGAGCCACCTGCCTGTCACCAGCCAGGGTACAGTCCAAGATGGCCATCTCTGTAACTTCTGCTGAGTTTGATTCAAACCCAGTTCCCATGTCCTCAATGTCCACCTCATGCAAGGGAGCAGGCACTGCCCCAGTAGCCCCACACTCCAGGGCACATGGTCAGTGACTGCTGGAGCCAGGCTTCCCGTGAGAACAGTTAAACACCCACGTCCAGTCCACGTGGCTGTGCCTCAACAGAACTCCTGAAATCAGGCTGGGCCACAGGCTCCCGGCCCTGTTCTGAGGGGCAGTTTGTACTCTTTGGAGCCCCCATGGGCTCGATTCATGTAGGGACTTGTGCCCTGGTGACCAGGACACTGCGGCCCTAACCTTCTGCTCGCCAAGTAGCACGGCAGCTGCGTGTGCAGCCCTGCCCTCTCAGGCCCCAGGATGCCGCAAAGCCAGACAGTGGAGAAGACAGAGGGCTCTGAGGACTGGTCAGAAAGACGGCAGCCTGAGTGGGGTGGGAAAGGCCCATCCTCCCACGGTCACTGGCACTCACTTGATTTTCAGCACGCTGAGGGACTTGTTGGATGAGGCTGTTATCTCTCCAGTCTTGTTTCTGTTGATGTAAACCGAGAAGCCGTTGTTTTGGAAGCCAAATTCCTTCGCAACCTAAATAAGCCCAAAACGACAGGGTTGAGAGAGACAGGTCAGCACCACCAGATGGCACCCGTGACAGCTGCTGCGGGCCTGGTCCCCAGAAGTCCCCCTCACTCCCTGGACTCCTCTCACAGTTTCACTCTCCATTGGCACATAGAACGAGGTGGCCCATGAGAAGCAAGGCGCCTGGGCAGGTGACAGACAGGAGAGCGCGTGAAGCAGGAAAGGGAACAAGGTCGTGCTTGTACAGGGGAACGGCTGCTCTAGGTGTTGAGTCTAAACCCACAACACACCCTAGACACCCAGGACAGCTCTACGATGGATGAGGGGGCCGTCACTGGACGGGCTGTGCCGGGCACCAGGCTAGGTCGCTTGGAACCCAACAGAAAAGCTGCAGCCAGGCTCCAGCTTTCCAACAGGGACCCGGAGGCAGCACAAGGACTGGGTGGCCAGGAGCAGAACAAAGCACAGAGGCCTCCTACTCAGCTTCAGAGGTGGTTCTTCCCAGGGGACGCCTGAGCAGAGGCTAAGGAGGGGTGCAGTCCAGTGCACAGAGCTGGGAAAGAGTGCCGCCGCCAGGAGGGGCCAGCACACCACCAGGGGGCAGGACATGGCAGAGTCCAGTGAGGCCAGGCCAGTGAGAAAGGGCTGCAAGCCAAGGAGCCTGGAAAGGGGCCCCGCAGCTGGGCAGGAGGGCCTCCGAGGGCTGAGGGCAGGTGCATCACCAAGTCCCCTGTGTACAGTCCCACTCTGTGGCAAGTGGACCTAGGCCTCTGCCGAGTGCCAAGGTGGCTTCGACTGGGCAGGTGAGGAAAGGGGGCCCAGTGTCCAAGGGGCTGGCTCTCCTGCTGGTGTCATCAAAAGCCCTGACGGGTGGCCAGAAGGAAAGGTAAGAAAGGGGAGGGCAGGGAGCCCATCAGTGTGTGGACGCCAGCTTGAGGAGCAGGCAGAACGGACGGGGGCAGCGGGGGAGGGCCTCAGGGAAGCCCACCTAGTCTCAGCCAACCAGAGCTGGAGCTTGGCTACACTCTGGTCCTCAGGGGTTGGGCAGCTCAGACACATCAGCTCCAGAGAGGTGATCCTGAAGCCAGGAAGAGAGGGGCCCGGTGCAGAGAGGCAGCATTCCCAGATCCAACCCGACGACCAGCAGCAGTGCTTGCCTGCGCTGAAGCCCCTTCCGGGGGATGCAGAAACATGGGAGGTTTCCTGGTGGTGCTCCTACCAAAATTACTGCTGTCACCTTTGTGACACTCTTACCCAGGTGTGCCAACCTGCCACGATGTGCCACCGGCTTCAAAAGCACATCTTGGCCGGGCTTAAGAGAGTAGGGTGCCACCTTACCCCCTTGTACTCAGACCTAGTGTACCCCTAATGTACCTGCCCAGCAAAGACAAATACAGGTAAGGCAGCAGAGAAGCTGGTGACCCCGAGGGGGCAGAGCTCAAGCCCACTGATGTGAAGTGCAAAAGCCCACCAAAAACCAAAACAAACCCACCGCCCTTAAGCCAAAGACCCTGATTCCCGGCCACCCTCCAGGACAGAGTGGACATGACACACCTTTCTCCTGAAGAGTGGCTGGGGACCAGACCCCTGATCTTTTGGATACCAGCCAAGTACTTTAAGCACTGCACTACCAAGCAAAGCTAGACTGCAGGGGATGGGCAACCCACCCCCCAAGTCAGGAGAGGCTGCACAGGGCGGGCCTTGTGGAGCCCACATAGCTTCCCACTTTGGCCTTGGCGCCATGTTATGTTATTTAGCTGCACAGCTTCTAAGCATTATTTTAGTTACGTACTTTAGCACATAGTGTTTGAACAGGAAAGCTCCTGTATTCTAAGACAGGAGCTGGGGGGTGTCCCATGCTGCCCAGGGGCTCCAGCAGAGGAGGTGGCTGGATGACAGGGTGGGGAGCAAGGGTGGCTTAGAACGCATGTACAAGAGCAGCAATCACTCCCTCCCTCCAGGGCACCACAAGAGCCAGAGAGAAGGAAGAACTTGCCCTCGCAGCTTTTCTGGGGGGTGAGTCAGAGAGGAGGGGCTCTTGACAAGGGGTTTGTGACGCCCAAGTCTAAGGTCCTGGAACTATTTAGACAGGGATCATTGCCTCTTGCTCACAAACATCAATTTCTTCCCAGGACAACTCAAACCAACCGTTTACGACCTGAGCACACATCTCGGCCACGTTTGAGGAGAGGAGGTTGTGTACAGGGTCTGAGTGATGTCAACAGAGGCAGCAGGTCACGGTACGATGTCCTCTTCCTACTACTGTCACCATTTTGAGACCTCTGCCGTCTAGACACAGCTCACAATCACCTGCATCACTCAAGACCCATGCTCAGACCCCTCGGCGCTCCCATCCAATGAGTCATTTAATGAGCCATCAAGAAGAGGGTCCCAAGTTTGGCCATGGAGCCCCGCAGGTAAGATATCCAGAGTGCTGCAGCAGTACTGGGGGACAGGACTCTTGACAGCACAGAGCAAGGATGACAAGGGCTGGACCCTGACCGTCACACGCAGGAGCACCTGCCCTCGCAACTTCGCCCAGAGTCTCCTCCTCGTGACTGGCTTAAGTCACACCTGCCTAATGGAAGCTCCTTCCACACTAGTCTCGATTGGCTAGGAAAGGACATCCCAAGCACCAAAGAGACCACCTTTTCCTTAAACTCTGCGGTCTTACATTTGATGACAAGCTTCCAGAGGACAGTAAACCCCCACTGGGTACACGTGTACGGATGGGTGTGTCCACACGGAACGTGCTAGTAGAGAAAGGCTAGTTTAACAGTGGTTGTGCTTCTTTATGTTTTTCTGTGTTGCTGAACCTTTGATCATAAGACTATTATTTTCACAACAAGAAAAAAAGATTCCCACTTTGGGTACGACACTTCAGTGCAGTTAATGTGTTTGCTATTAAAAACGACTGTGCTCAAGCCTGCTTCAGCGGCTCGGAGTCAAGGTGAAACTATGCCTCACCTACACCAACCTCGGTCAATGAGTAGCCGTCACCGTGTCGGAATATCCTAGGCCGGGACCCGGAGCTACCTGGAGGGAAGTGGTAGGGCTGGGGCCAGTACGAGTCAGAACGGCAGTGCTGTTGGTTTAGGGTTCTCTGACACCTGCTGGGCCCAAAGCCTCAAGTAGAAAACAAAACCTTCTCTCGGAAGGGTCTCACAGATTCATGGTTAGACATTTCCTGACCATGGGGCCCAATCTCAGCCCCAACCACTGATTGCTCCCTCAAGGTCCCAGGTGATGTCGTGCAGATGCCGGTACAGACCGAGCCCCAGGATGGAACCCAGGAGCAAGCCGATGACAGAGAGCTGCTGCTGCAGGGTCGAAGGCTGGGCAAGCACAACTTCCTCAGAGGCTCGGACACCTTATTGCTTCCATCCTATCACTGCATCTAGTTCTTTTTCCTTTTTTCCTTATAATGGACCCTGGAGAGCTGCTGGAAGAGTCCTGGTAGCACAGTGGGTTAAGAATTGGGCTGCTGACCGAAGGGTCGGCAGTTCATACCCACCAGCTGCTCCAGAAGAAAAAGATGCTTTCTAAGGTTCCAAACCCATTGTCATCAAGCCCATTCTGACTCACAGCGACCCTAAGTAGGGGTTCAGAGGGTAAACCTTTACAGGAGCAGGCAGCCTCATCCTTCTCCCAAGAAAAGCCTGGTGGGTTTGAACTGCCAACCTTGCAGTTCAATACCTAACCCGTAGCACCACTGGGACTCCTGGTTCATAAAGATTACAGCCTTCAGGAGGAGAGCTGAACAGACCAGTCTAAGGAATACCGATTCTGGAGGCAGCACTTGGCACCTCATCTAAAATGGGTGGGGGTTACTCACAGGGGCCCACAGGGAAAGTCTAAAGGTATAATTCGGGGTGGGGGGGCATCCTGACCACAGGAAGTGCGGTGGGGATTGTTATGATGCACGCCTCTCGGACAGGAATGGTGAGGACTAAAAGGATCTATGTGCTGGGAGGTGAGCGGATCCCAGGATACAGAGTGCTGAAAGTAACGGGCTTGCCATTTAACAGAGACATTCACCTACTCTGGGTCAGAAACTGAGTCAGGCTTGGTCCTATTTGTATGGTCCCTCTTTTTGCCCTCTTCTTTCTCTGAGTCTATCCATACAAGATAGGCAATCCCAGGGGACAGTGACAGCCCGGTGGTTCTGGGGGGATGGGGGGAAGGAAGTGGGGGGAGGTGAACAGTGGGCTGTTTATGACAGGGACAGGGGAACAGTAGGGTTTTAAAGTAGACGGCGAGGAAGGTATAGCACTTCTTGTCGTGTTGGATCAACCGAAATGTATCACGTGAAGTTACTGACAGGTGAATGATGGGTAAACATGAGAATGGGGCAAGAAGAAGAAAGAAAAATATATTTGTAGAGCTAGATAGATAGATGTAAATATTGAAACACATAAATTTATGTATATTTGCTTATACATAATGCTTATACATATACATAATATATGTAAATACAGCAGGGAAGCAGATAGACTTTAGGCCTCTACTCTAATCTTACCTCAGTACAAGAACAGTCTGTTGTAACAAATATGGCCTTGTAGGATACTCACCCACTCGACAAGATCACTAAGGGTGCATAAGCAAATGTGGTAATGAAAGCTGATGGTGCCCGGCTATTAAGACATAGCATCTGGGGTCTTAAAGGCTTGACGTTAAACAAGCAGCCATCTAGCAGGGAAGCAACAAAACCCACACAGAAGAAGCGCACCAGCCTGTGTGATCATGAGAGGCCGACAGGAATAGGTATTAGAACGTCAACAATAAGCAACCGAATCGATGTGAAGGCGCGTGGATGTAGTAGAGACCCCAACTCCACCTACAAGATAACTGGCCCCTCATAGAAGGACCAAAAGGGATGATATACCCAGGGTCTGGCACAGCACTGATAAAACACCTAGCTACCCTCTGGTTCTTAATCATTTCCTCCCCCTACTATTATGGTTTCAGTTCTAACCTTGTTAGACTTGCACATGGTCATTAGTAAAATTAAGATCGTTTGATGCATGAAAACCAACACAGGTAACACCCCTAGAAAAAGTAACGGGAGTAACTGTTTCCTGAGGGCACAGGAAGGGGGTGAGAGACAGGCTTTATGACAGTGATGACTGCATAACCCCACCTAAGGGGAGCGACAACAGGACTGTAGGTGAACGGACATGCTAGACAGCCTTAAGACATGGGAAATGTACAGACAACATATAGATTATAATAGATATCTAAAACAGCAAGTGTCGGGGTTTAGGGGAAAGAAAGTGATAAAGGGGAGCAGATATTAAGGTCGGGAAGCAGTAGAATATTTGGAACCGGATTGTGGTAACAAGTGCTTGATGTGACAGAACTACGGAATGTTACGAAATGTGTAAGCGCTCCCGATGATCAACAAGAAAACACATAGCCTTGAACACCTGACGTAGTCACTCTGCCTCTCACAGCTGTTCTGAGTTGGAAGGGACTTGATGGCAACGGGCTTTGGGTTGGTTTTAAGCACAGCAATGGTTGGCATCATGGGAACAACTACCTTTCACAAACCAACTACCCCAGGTGGGTGCTAGCTTCTCTGGCAGAGCACAGGCACCGGTGACCCTCAGCCAGTCTCTCCTCCTCCAGCCTTCAGTTCCGTTTATGAACAGAGAACGGCTGGCCTAAGAGGCCCGTGTGTGCTCACATCTAATTTCTGATCTTGCATGAAGAAAACTGTCATGTCTGTCACCGCTTAAGACAGATCCAGACAGAGAAACACGTGGAGTAGAGCTTGCAAATGTTTTCAGGTCTTTCTAGCAACTACGCAATTCTGCCAGTGGCTCAAAAGCAGCCACTCATAATATGTAAGCACAGGGGTGTGGCTGGGCTCCAGACCTCTTGTGTCATGGCATTAGTGGCTGGCTCCACGGGCCCTGGCTTGCCAAGACATCTAGCTATAAAGCAGAATGGGGCCTTTACTCCTGGGGCTACGAACACATGGCAGTTTTCTGAAAATAGGGTGACCATCCCTAAGTTTTCTCCCTCAATCATCCACGCAGAGCCCAGCGCCCTGTTCTCTCAGACTGCGCGGCACACATGCCCTGGCCTGAACTAGAGCCACCCTCCAACGGGACACTGAAGATTTTCTCCAGACTTTGTTCCTAAAAATTGTGTTGCCTACCGCCTCGCCTCTATTAGAAATGGCAACGATCAGAAAAATGTATTACAGCAGGTGTCAGCGAGGACATACAGGAATAGGCACCCTCATCCACTGTGGGTAGGGAATGCAAAGTGATCCGGCCGCTGTGGAAAGAAGTCTGGGGAGGTTCATCAAAAGACTGAACAGAGAACCACTCTATGACCCAAACAGAGTATGTGCCCAGAAATGAAGGCAAAGAGAAGGGTGTATCCCTGTGTAAATGGTACTCTTTAAACCAAAACGAATGGTGTTGATGACTCATAGCAGCCCTTTAAGATGGGGAAGAAGTGCCGCTGAGATTCTGAAACTGTAACTGCTTACAGGAGGAGAAAGCCCTATCTTTCTCCGGGCAGAACTCACCAGGGTCAAAATCTGGGAACCACCTAAATGTCCACCAGGAGATGGATGGACAAAAGTCTGGGAACCACCTAAATGTCCACCAGGAGATGGATGGACAAGCACACTGTGGTGCCCAGTGCAATGGAGTATTTCTCAGCTCTAAAGAGAAGTCTTGAAGCATGTCACAAAACCAGTGGACCTTGAAAACATGCTGAAGGAGGCAGGTCACAGTTGCAGAGACAAATACTACACGATCCCGCTTAGCTGAGAGAAGCAAGGATACAGAAAGCACAGATTACGAGTGGTTACCAGAGGCAGGAAGAAGGGGAAGAGAGAGCTCTGCTTTAAGGCGATGTTAATGGTGGTGGAATCATTTGGACCCAAATAGAAAGAGCAGTCGCACAACTTGAAGAACAGAATCAAGATTACCAAGTAGCAAGTAGAAATTGGTAAAATGGCACGGTTTATGTATTTTCACCACAAAATATTTACAAATATAATTTGCTCTAGTGAAATACTTGTCCACGCACCTAGTGGCCCTTGCTCCTATAATTTTATGTAGAGATCAACAGGGACACACACCTGATCCTACAGCAACCCAACCTAGCCCAATCATGACAGAGACAAGCAGGGAGGAGAGTACGTTTGGGACAGCTGAGGGCCAGAGAAAGGAGACAGAGAGGGGAGTGTGGGGCGGTGAGGAGGAGCCCAGGAGATGCATGCCAAAGCCACAGGTACCTTTTTAAAAAAAGTTTTATTGGCACATACTTTACACATAGCATTCAATACACACAATTCAATAGTTCAATCATACCCAGAATTGTACAATCATTACCATATCACTTTTAGAACATTCCCTCCCCCACGGTTAAATCACCTTTAAAATGAGATGTGCAATCACAGTCAGTTCTGGTACCCACTCCCTCCTCCCGCCTTCATTTCCCCCTTCTGAGACCCCCTTCCCCACTCCTGCACCCCACAGGTACCTTTTTCAAAAACGTTGCAGCTGTTTCTCTCTTTGTTGCTGTGATCCGCTTCACCCCCTCAGGGGACTGGACACGGATGATCTGTTGTAAATGAAACAAGGAGGTGACTGCACAGAATAGGAAAGTCCTGATGGGGCATCAGCACCTGGGCCACTGAAACTGAAAGGCAAGCCATCCCTTGCCTCCATCAGTACCCAGCCCAGTCTCATGAGAGCAGGGTGGGGCTGGTTTGGGGGTGATTCACATCTGGGGAACACTGCTCTCCTGAGGTTCACCTCCTGCCCATCTACCCCTATTCCCAGGCCTTAGCCTGCTCCACTAAGAAACAGCAACTAGGGTCTTTTATCACTACAAAACACCAATCTTCCTCTACAGCAGTGGTTCTCAACCTTCCTAATGCCATGTCCCTTTAATACCGTTCCTCATGTTGTGGTGAGCCCCCAACCATAAAATTATTTTTGTTGCCACTTCTTAACTGTAATTTTGCTACTGTTATGAATCGGCTGACCCCTGTGACCGGGTTGTTCGACCCCCAAAGGGGTCAAGACCCACAGGTTGAGAACCACTGCTCTACAGAGAGATTTACAAAAATAAGCACCCCCAATCACGGATGACTGGCTTCTTCAGTGGTTTTGCTTGGTTCCAAAATCTATACATAGACACTACAACAAATGAAGGGAATACTACGCAAAATCTGCCACCATTTATTTTTCATACTAAAAGAAAATCATGGTAAAACATAGTTGGGTTTTTAAAAAGTATTTTCATGGCAAGGCTGAAATGGGGAGAGGTGTGGAAGCATACAGCGATCAAGCATCATGTTCCAGGCTTGACGTGTTCTCTGATCAAAGCCTCAACTGACTGCAAGTTCCTGCTCTGAAGTCAGGGAGCGTGAAAGGGCATGCCCGCTACAAGCAGCATGGCAGAGGCTACTCGTCGCAGGAAGGGTCAGGAGGGACCTGCCGTAAAGAGTGCTCCCAGCCCTTTCAGCAGCCACTGCGCTGGGCATTGTACCTGAAACAATGCAATTGCAGATGAAAAATGCCACAAGCCGTATTAAAACAAGTTTCACGGACACACGACAAAACCATGAAGGTTTATGATCTCCTAAACTTTGCCCACTTTGGGATCCAAATCATCAATAACCTAGATTTTGCTGAAAGAGCCTGACCTTGTCTCCCTTTCTCGTTTCCTTTGACTGAACCCTGGCCCTGTACTGTTGAGCAACTTTTATGGCTTGTCTTGAAGGATCCCTATGAGGGTACTCCAAAGGCTAAGAGCATTGGATAATTTTTCCTTAATTGTCACACTCATCCATGTAAAGAGCAAACACATTAATTTTTAGACTTTGCTGCCAGGGCCTCCACTCTGGACTGAGGACCTAAGGAAAACGCTTCCACTTATTTAGGAAATGAGTTTCCACCACCAAGGCATGCTAAGAAAAGCGCTGTTCCAACAGCGTGGGATTCAGTGGCTTGCTCCCTCGCTCCTGTACGGATACGAGCATGCCCTCTGTCCTGGAGGAGCTGCAACAAACTCAAAGTCACTATTCGGTCACCTGGAGCAGTCCAGCCTTAGCAAAAGACACAGAGCTTCTGTGTTGAGGGTCACTGGCTTGGCCCCCATCATAGGACTGACTGACACTCACAAAAACAGAGTCTCTTGGTAAAGTAGGTCTCCTAATTTATAGGGAAAGAAGCCATGAATTTGGGGGGGGGGGGGTGTTCGTTTTTTTTGGTGCGTTCCATCAGACCCAGAAAGATTTTTAGAAGAAAGCCATTTGGAGGCAGTTTTACAAGAAGGGTCCTTTTTCACTGCTCTTGTGACAAGATACTCCAGGCTATCCGTGAGAAAGCCTAACCTGACGCACACTTGTGGGGAAATGTCTCAAACTCACTTGTGCCCCGACACTTACTTCGGGTCAAAGCATGGCAGTAAGGGCACAACCTGAAAGCAGAGCCTCTCTCTAGTCTAAGGAATTTTTATTTATTTAACAGGCGTTAACTTTTCTCAAACTCCTCCTGGGCCCTGCTTACTCCTTCGTTCCTCTGCGGGCTGAGAATAGGGGCGACATCAAGGCCCCAAGAGTGCTGCGGTGAAAGGGCAGGCAGCAATCAGAGCCGAGCCTTGAGCCCACGAGGTAAGAAAGAGCGCCCTGTGTCCTGCAGACGCAGCCGTCCGGAAGGACGACGACCCCCAGCGGGATGCCCGGTGCAGTGGCTGTCAGGTGCTGTCACCCAGGACGGGCCAGCTCACCCACCGCCTACAAGCCCAGAGGCCCAGGCCCGCTCCTCGCCCTGCCTCGGAAACTTGGGAAACTTTGCTCGGCTTTCTTTCCTTTTCGGAGGCGGGCTGCGAGACTTCTGGTGGCAACGGACACGGCCCTTCGGTGGACTCGTCGCCCCGCGCCCCGGGCCGCGC